GGGAGACCTGGTTTGGTAGTAAGCTAAGGGTCTGCTTTCATTTATTTTAAAGGGAACATTAAATTGCTTCAATATATGTTCTGCACTCTAAGAAAATAAGTGAAGTAACTGTTGAAATATAAGACAGCAGAACAACTACCAGTTTCTTTTGGTAGAGATATATAGCTGTACGGTCAAAAAATATTTGATTAATCATAGACATATGCATGACTCACCTATCATAGATTGAGATTTTAAAATGCCAGATGATTTTCAATTTATACAAAGTTTGTAGGCATACGTTTTCCAGAATGGGTGTGTTTTATTTTTTAATTAAAAGTCATTATTTTTCGGAGTTTGGGGGGGGGGGGTTGTGATGTTTGTGAGAGGAAAATGACCTAAGTCACATTGAATTACATTTCTAAACTGTGTTTATAAATCCTTCATGATGGACTTGCTGAAAGTTAATATTGCTGTAACACTTTACAGGTTTTTCCTCTGGGTGCTTCTGGTGCTTCAAGCTTTCTTTTGTCCTTTTTGAACAGTAAGCTGTCTTTTCAGGGTAATACGATCAGCATGTGTTGCATGAAAAATCACCATTTGTAATATGCTCCTTGTTGAATAAAGATTCCATTTTTTTTATAATCCTGTCAGTACTAATGTAATAATTGTCATTGTTAATTACTTTTAAAAAGATTCCTGTTGTTATGTCTCCTAAACAGCAGTTTCTCTTGAAATAAAGCAAAAATCTTAAGATCATCTGAACCTCAGCATGATTGTATGCATTTTGCTGATTTGATAATTGCAATAGAAATTAAAAGATGTTTTGAAAGATAGTATTGAAGATTATGGGCATTCAAGCATGTCACAATGTCTTTTGGGCTAGTTGCCCTAATTGGTCCTTCTTAGATTTATGCATGCCAAGATGCAGAATGTAGATTTTTTTTTCAGTATTAAAATCTCTCGTAATTTTAATTTTCTTTTTCATCCCTCTACATTTTTGAAGTACTCTTTCTATTAACCCATTTACTCTTAAACATTATATAATTATTTTTGGGTTTGATTCTCGTTGATTCTCTCTCTATGATCCTTTTTTTTCATACCGGTCATTTACATTTGTATTTGGTCCATTCTCATGCCGATTCATTTTTTACTTTATCTTTTCCTGTTTTACCACATTCACTTCTTAAATACTCTATCTCCATTGCATTCAATTTACAATTATGTTTGCATTAACATAGCAAACTCTTCGTTCCTTGTAAAAAAAACTTGCAGGATAGCTTTCTACATAATCATTTGGTCTCTTTAAAGAAACATTAATTCCTTGTGATAAACTGCCCATTATCTTTCTACCAGCTTCTGAACATTTTAAAGTTTCTTCATCATGTCCCTGTCTTCAGTGACATACCAGGGTACACAATTTAACCACTTCCTTTTTTTATTATTTGTACACAACTTGAAATTATTCCATCCTTTATCCATGTCAAACACCTTAGTTTTTGACAAATTAATTTTCAGATCCATATTCCTTATTGCATCATACTATTAATCACTGCAACTCATTTGGGTTCTCACATCACATGCAGTCACTTCCCCAACAAGCACATCTTTAATGTCAATACAAGTATTGTTTTTGCCTCTATCCATAAAATATAGTAAGGACCAAGTGGACTTCACCCATTCTTAAATTACTCCTGTTTAATGTTGACCAATTTGTTACATATTCCATTCTCATGCATTTATTATTGTCCTTGATAGTCCTTGTTTAACAACTGCCTTATTTAATGAAAAGGAAACTTTATAACCAGGTAACTTTATAACCAATCCTCGTATTGATGACCTTAGCAGGTTTGTAAAACAAAACTGAAGTAAGATCATAAGCACATCATGGTTTTATTTAGTAACCGCTTTGTTTAACAACCAATTTGCTGGTTCCAATTGTGGTTGTTAAATAAGGAATACCTATATACCTTTTATGCATTCAACAACCAAGTTTAAACTCCATGTTTACATAAAGTGTTCCTCAAGTCATTCACTCAAATCTGTTAGAACAGTCATATGCATTTTTATATCAGCAAATATACAATCACCTTTTTTTTATTTTAAACTATCTTCCTGCGAAAAAGTCACAACACACTTCCCAAAATTTTTTTCATTATCATCTCTCCTAGCCTTTTGATTAAAATCTGCAGCTGCTTTCTAAATGCATTTAACAAACTGATTTCTCAATCCTGCTTTTATTTTGCTATCTTTTCTTTTGTGGTATTCTTGTGATCAACAAAAATGCATTGTTCACAAACATGCTAAACAAGTCACATATGCACTCCATAAACAAACCACAATCACAATTTAAGATTTCTGTTGTTTCACTCTAACATTGCTCCTGGTACTATTAATCAGCCTTATTTTCAATGACAATGTTTCAAAGTTTATTAGAGTAAATATCTAAATAATTTTTATATAGCTGTAAGAAACAATGGCTTTCTAGAATTTTTCAAAAAGATAAGTAAACTCCATAGACCTAGTTTTTTAACTGCTGTCTTTACTGTACTGACTTATACCTAACCTTGGTAAGTAGCTCTGCTACAAGTAGAATTCCTAAGTGTCCTGCTTCTCTGTTTCAGCTTCTTTCCTAAACTTACAGTATCTCTCCAACCTCCTCTAATTAAAGAGCAAAGCTGTCTTCTTTCTGAGACTCACAGGTATTTCTACTTGGGGTTAATTCTTACAACATACTTTGACCATCTAATATCTGCATTCATATCATCAAAATTCTATTTAATATTCCAAAATGTATGCACATTTTGCCTTCCCTTCACATACACAAATCAATTAGGAATTCAAACTTAACTACATTTCCACAATGGGAATTGTGTCTTCATGAAAGCAACTAAGGCAACATTCCTTATTATACTTTATTTTGGAAAAATTAACCATTTTTACCTCATTTGAATGTAAAAGAAAGACCTGGCTGGTTCAGTATAAAGGGAGGAACAAAGCAACACAAAAAGCTGCTTTCGGTTAAGTGAAACTCATGCATATTTCAGTATTTCAGCTATGTCCTCTAAATGCTTTTAACTGCCATCGCTATTATTTTTAAAAGTAATTAATAATGTTTATATCCTTTCCAAACTTATGTACAAAATAATAGTTTTAAAAGAAAGAAGTGAAACCCTTCTATTTGTTATATGAAATACTTCATGAATTATTTATAGGAAAACATTTAAATTCCAAACAAATTATTTAACAATTACTTTTATCTCACATTCATTCTTTCATGTATTTCTTTTTTGCTATTTGTTTTATTGTGTACTTAGGGAAATTTTAAAAATGGACCCTTTATCATTTATAATTTCTTTAAATTTTGGGTCTGAACCAATTTATCTCATAGATTTGAATAAAGTATAATTCTAGAAATGCATCCTATTTTATATTAAAGTAAAACTTCTGAGGTTCTCCCTCAGAAGTTTCTTCTAGGGATTTCCATAGAAAACTTCTAGGAATTTCCACAGAAAACTATACTAAGGAAATACATCATTTAATATTACATATACTGACAGCAGCCCGCATAGTCTATGCGCAAAATTGGAAGAAGGAAAACTTACCATCAGAAGAAGATTTAATTAGGAAAATCTTAGAGTGTGCAGAGATGGACAAATTAACAAAAGAAATCAAGGAGAAAGAGGATACAGAATATTACAAAGTGTGATGTAGGTGGTATGAATGGTTGGAGAATAGGAAAAATGAGAAAGAGGAATAAAGGAAAGAGGGGAGAAAAAATGTGGAAGATCAAAGTACAATCTAGACGAAAGAAAGAATGATGGAAAATAAATTGTTGAATAAGATAAAGTTAAAATATGTGTGAATAGATGTAAATAGTAAGAAAGGATCACTTTGAAGTAGCTGTAGGGAAAAGTGATATGTATATAAATGTTGTGTGTTTGTGTCTTGTTTTTAATGTTTTCAAAATAAAAAAAATTAGAATAAAAAATAAAGTAAAACTTCTAGTACCTGTCATCTATATATTGAAGGAGACTTTATATGGAAGAATCCTTGAAATATAAATCTATCTTGATTTATAATGTCTGCATATAAGGATTTTTTTTCAATATTGAATAATCTGATCATCAAAATTGTATTGTATAATATATTAATTCTGCACCAAGTATCCTAAGAATTTCAGATGTAAGCGATAATAGCTTATGTTTGCAAATATGTTCAAAAACTACTAACTCTGCAGATGCCAGGAAAATGGCCAAATTAACAATCCATGATTTGTAGGTACTTTTTATGCTAGTGTAGGAATATAGATACCCACTTCTAATAGGCTGCCCCTTGCAAATTGGATGCTTAAATTTGCTTTTTAAAAATTGTATTCCCATTGTGTCAGGGATTTTAAAAGAAGGAAAATCCCTCTGTTAGTCAACATACCTTTGCAAGCATTGTTCACTTTTGACCGTGAGTGGGTGGGGATTTGTTTCTACACAACTCCAATATTTTGTAAAATATTTTCATTTCCTCTCTTCTACATGCTATTCTTTGTATTATATTTATATCAGTATTTTTTTCTAATTTAAATTTTTAACTGATTTTTAATACAATTTATTGCAGTGTTTTAAAGGAGGAGGAAAAATGAACATTTTGTTTGAATATAGATCTAATGAATATAGATTTAATGAGATAAAATATGCTGTGCATAATTTTGTTCAAGTAGCCTCATTTAGTTCACATGAAAAGGAAATAAAAATTCTGTGTGTGCGCAAAGAAACTGAAGTATCATGTCACAAAATGTGATTCTACATAATCTTAATTTTTGACAACAGTTTTTTGAAAGCCAGTTTTATTACAAAAACATTTGTTTTATTATGGAATACTGTAAGCTTAGACATAATTGAATAATAGAAATTATTACTATTACTAATAATAGAAATATATTTACTAACTGTACCCAGAAATATATTTACTAACTGTACCCTACTTACTGATGCTCAAATAATTCTCCCATCTCTCTTTTTCCCCAGATCATCTGATAAAGAGTATTCAGAAGACTGTCTGAGAGAACTCACAGCTCAGGAGGACTACAGTTCAGGAAACAAGTGCAAAGTATCTGCAAGGTCCTTTCATGCAGGACCTGCCACAGTTGCATCACAGCGGAGCCGAGGTAGATCTGAGACATTGCCCAGTGATTACAGATATTCACAGGAAAATGTAAATGAGAAAAGCAAAGATTATGGTTCTTTGCCTCTTGTGATTTCTGGACTACAAATATCAGATAAGACTCAGCACTGTTTAACACATATCAAAGCAGAAGAAAATCTACAGGGAAATTCTGTACTCCTGAATAAGAAACATGGCTCTTTTCCTCAGAGGCCACCCGCACCCAAACGAGATAAGAAACACAGAAGAGAAGATAGTTTTTCAGCTTCACTTGTTTCAGAATCTTTACTGACAGTGCCCAACAGATTAGATCAGTCTTCCCCTGCTTCTAACAATATAGCTGTAGGCAGCTCATCACCTTCTCAGGTTCCCACAAAAATTTCTAGAAAATTTGTAAGTGCAGAGCTGCCAGAGACTGGGCAGTTAGCATCCACAGAAAATGTTTTTCAGCATTTAGAAGAAAAAAGACATCTCAAATCTGAACCCCCCCTTCCTTCAACTTATCGTTACCATCTAAAATCTAGAATGGAAGCATCAAGATCCCCTTCACCACAGTTTGCTCCACCAAAGCTGACTGATAAGCCACCTGTGGCTGCTCAGGATGAAAATTCCACACGGTAAGCCACTTTACACTAACTGTTAAATATTTGTCACATATTTTATCGTTGGATTTGTTCACCAATTGAATATTAAGGTTTCCAGGCACTGTCACTATATGGTTTTAGCAGTTTAATGTTAAGCTTTCTAGAGAGTTTTAGAACCACATTATTTTATCCCAACAGAAATTATATACAATTTATTTCAGCTTTTAAACTGAGTTCAGTACAACATGCTTAATTTACAAGTGAATCTGTGGCAGACAGGTAAATCCCATTATCGTTTTAAAGAGACAAAGACCGAAATAAGCCTGTACAGAGTTTATTCTTTGCAAAGGGACTTTCTCTCTAAAGTAGAGAAAGACGGAAATAAAACAATTTACACAAGTTTTTATAGTCTTCAGGACATTCAGAATACACGTCAATAAAGTACCTTGGGAATCAGTTCCAGATCTTACATAACATCTTCTATAACATATGCAGTACATAATTCCACCCTGGAAATTCCCCAATTCCCAACAGAAATACCCCTCAAAAACATCAATTGCGTACTTCCTTTAATTAATAAGGGCAAGTTAACCCAGGAACGTATTTCCTGCAAAACAAACATCTTCTCAAAAACAGGAATTACACATTTCCTTTCTCATGTTCTTAAATGTCAGCTAAATTATATAATCAGGTTATACAAAGTAAAACAAAACCTTAACATGATTTCAAAATGGCGTAACTCAGGTTATGCTTTTACAGGAATAATTCCTATTTTTCTCACAATCCCCAATTCTCCTCTTCATTATCTTTTATTTCTGTAAACTAAGAATATCCTGTAACAGTATAGAAACTCCTCTCCATACAATAGGTAATTTGGTCAATACCATGTTACCACATAAAAACATTAACCTGGAGAGAATTTGTATCCTTAGACATAGAAAATGTAACCCTTCCTCCAAAATCCAAAACTTCTTGTATGAAGGTATATAATTACCAAATAGCTCAGTGCATTGCTTATATAAAAATTCCATTCTATTTGTAAGGCCAATGTATTGAGGAACTATCTCATATGTACATTTGCACTTGACACACACCATCTTCAAAAGATGACTTAATACATATCTCAGCTTCCTCAGTGGTGTCTATTAGGGTTAGTGGTGTTTCTATAAAAGAATAACGGTGCTCGAATTCAGTATGGAAACATAGCTGCTACCATGTTATAAGGTAACTGGGCAACACAGCCAAAATCCCCATTCCTATCCACACCTGTAGAATAACAAACATTACCACAAAAAACCCCATTATTCCTAGTGAACTAGCTCCCCCAACATCAATCAATCAAGGAGAACTTACATCCACTGGATATCAAAACATAGATTTACACCAATCAATAATATCTTTCCTCAATACAATCAAAAACACAACAAGAATATATTACCACTCCTAGCCAAATACAAATCTCTTCATAAAACTCTTCTTCCATCCATTGGTCATCAATCATCTAAAGGTTTGTCATCAAAAAGTCAATTTAAGAGGGTTTGCAGGTTCCGTAGCAACTGTCCTTCCATAAGGCAAAGCCACCAATCCCTTGACTCTGGAATAGCATACCCAAATTTGTTCCTTAGTCCTTACAGCCGATTCAGTAGTCAGCAAAACTTGGAACGGTCCTTTCCACACCAGCTGCAACTTCTTCTCAGTAATGGCTTTTATCGGACCCAGTCTCCACTTTTGTATTCATGTGCTTGGAAATCAAGAGGTAGATTCTGTCCTTTTTACCTTAAATGAGAAAAACACTGGGACAGTCCCTGTATATATACTTTCAGAAAAAACATCCTTCAATTCTATCCTAGGCATCTCAACTTTCCCCACATATACATAGATATCCCCAGATCTTTCCTAGGACTAGTTCCTATTCTTAATAGAGCCAAAGGCAAACACTTCATTCAAAGTAGTTGAAACTCTAACATTAATTTTTAAACAATAAATGTAATTGCCAATCAATTCCTAATTGTTCCATAACCTTCATCACCTTGGACAATGAAATGTATACCCCTATCACTATATTTGGGTATTATTCGCTCTAATATGATTTAACAATCTTCTGAGCACCTATCTTTACACAAAGAAAGGCTTCAACCTATCCAGTAAAATAATCCACTATTATTATTACATATATCAATGGTTACACCACCAGCATTTCAATGTAATCTACTTAGATTCATTGAAAAGGCCAAATGGTCAAATCTCTACATATTTTTTTACATACACAATGTATTCATTTCCGTACCATTTGTATAACTATTGTATACACACCCCTAGACACATATATGCATATACATTTAATAAAATCAATAAGTGCTTGCGTTCCCCAATAGGTTCCCTCATACACTCATTCAATCACATTCCACATCACAACTTTAGTAAAAATTCTCACTCCATTTTAGTAATCCATTTCCCATTCACTTACACACCCCTTCATCCACTATTTATATAATATCAAGTTTAGAAGGATCCCCAGCTGCCTTTAAAACAGCTGTGATAAGTTCCACCTATCGCAATTCCTTTTACTAAATATCAACCCCCTTTCAATCCAGATTTTCCCAAAAGTATGTAAGATACCATAAGCATAGTTTAAATCAGCATAAATATTCCCTACCTCATTAATTAATATGTGCAATGCTTACAATAAAGCAAAAACCTCACATATCTGCACTGACCATTCAAACGGTAACTTTCCACCTTCCAATATCTCAATAGTGTCTCCATTCACAACTGCATCTCATCCAGTCTCATCCCATTCTCAATTCATTTATTCATAACCACACAATTTCATTCCACATCTTCCCATCTCTCTCTCCTATTGGTCAAGAGAACCAAACTCTCTTGAGACAATTTTAAAAACCTAGCATTTGTGCACCACCTTTTTAGTTCCCAGTTCACATGCAAACCAACATTCCTTTGGCTATACCATCTTCCACTACTACAGACAAGTGGAAATTTTTCCTTAAACCAGGCAAACATAACACTGGAGCAACACTATATTTTTACTTTCTTCAACTCTTCAACTCTTCAACCTTTCTTCCAAACAACTTAGTTTAAAATTAACTATCAATAAATCAATAGAGTCTCAATAAATACTCAACTCTCCCCACTTCAGAGGAATCGCACCACACTTCTATCAAAAATTAGCTAAACTATTTCCACAAGCTTCAAAAAAATGCAAAGCTTAATCTAAATTCACAAGTCTATACAGACAAACTTACAAGTAACTTCCTAGCTAACCAGACCAAAAGTCATCTTTACCTTTTACCAGTAATTCTTCCCTCAAGGAAACATCCTTTACCTAGACAACACTAAGCTAAAATAACATAGTCAACTATTCCCCAGACTATCCAGTATCTAGTATCTAGAAATCTCCTTCTCAGCATCCAAAATCATTCAAAATACACAGACACAAAAACATAAAAGAGGGTAATAAAAAACTTCAAAAAGCAAAAGAAAATCACCTAATAGAGGTACTCCGGGTCTCTACTCCCAAAAACTTTTCAAACTTTCAATGTCACTTCTCTAAAGCAGAACAGGAAATACATCTGCATAGCTGCCAATGCAGTCAGAAACAATGCAGGATCAAATCACCCATTCGCCCCTCCTTTCTCTCAGACAAACTCAACAAAGGAAAAAAAAATGTGTAAAAGGGAAAACAAACCGCACCTTCCCTCCCCCCTTTCTTACTTCTCTTATTCAGAACAAAAAGACGGAGAAAAATATAGAGAAGAAAAATACTACTCCTGTCTCTAATTAACATCGCAAATACCTCTACCTAATCCTACTTCTCCATAGGATCTCTCTCATCTCTCACTTGCTCATTCACACACTTGCTATTACAACATAACAACAACTACAACAACAAACTCTTGCCACTCACTATTTCAATATACAAAAGGAAATTTCTCAGGGGTTCAATGCACAGACATTCACAAATATCAGGATCACTTTACCACCCCCATTTAAGGGCTTACCACATACACTCATATTTATTCTGCAATCAGACCTTTTAGTGTATTCCAACGCACACATGCCTTTTCCCTACCAATACAAATACTTCAGGGAGCTTTACTATCATTCTCATTATTATTTTTTCAAGACAATGAGCTCTATTGCCTAAACAACTCTCATTACACACACATACCATTTAACAACATTTGCAAACCTGGAATAAAACCTGGAAAGGTTCCATCCCTTCAGATACCCATTTCAGTTTTATCCTTGACATCTTGTAGCCCATTCCTCAAGCAGTGGAAAACTTCAGGATGCGGTTTTTAATCAAAAACTTGATTTTGGGCCCTAACCACACCTGTCCTCCACAGCTCCAGACTTAAGCCAAGAAGGTCACTTAATTAGCCAGCACACACATATCACCATCTCATCACATTAATCAAAGACAAAATATTCGCATTCAACCTCAGGTAAGAAGAACAATAAACCTTCCTTACTACATTCCTACAGAGTTTTCTGCCTCATCCAAGAACAATAAAGATCTGTATACCAAGCTCACATCCCAGAAGAGACAATGCATCTCTCCCAAGCAGATTAAGACCTACTTCTAGAACAAATATCACATCCAAACGTATAATACACTTTTTGCTTTCCAATCCACCAACACTAGACTTTTTTCCACTGGTGTAATCCTCTCCCAATTCCAGGACACTGTCGCCACATTGCAACCAAAGTTTCACAAAACCTTTTCCTCTTCTACCTAACTCCTTTCCCTCTCCTGTCTGTTGCAACACAGACACCATCATTCATCATTTCTTTCCTTCTTTTTCTCTTCTAGTCTTGGCCTCGTCCCTATTCACATAGACCTTTTAAGCTTCTTTCAACAGAGCAGCAATATCAGTAGTAGCTTCTGTATGTCTGGCCATGATTTCGTCACAAATTTCATTTTCATTAAGGACTCATAAGCCGGCGTTTCAGGAGAAAGACCAGTGTGCTTATTCAAATTGTCCTTAATATTTTCCAGAAACACAGACGGTGTTTCTTCCCACAACTGTTCCACCTCAAAAACTTTTGTTTCTTCCTTGAGGTACAGCTGTCTTAACTCCCTCCATTTGTTCCCGATCAGCTAAATTATCATTATCCCAACCAGGATCAACTAATGGAGACTTAACATCTGCAGCAACGGGGTGAACAGCCCCCACTTGGGTTTTTATCAAAAAAAAACATAGCTGCCTTTCAAATTTGTGACCTCTCCCCAGGGAGAACAAATAACCCAATATACACTGTAACTCTGCAAAAGTATACAGATTGGGTCTCAAGAACAAATCCAATGACTCAGACAACTTAATCAGATCCGCTTAGAAAGACGGCATATTTCTTTTATAATCTTCCAGATCAGAAGATGTCAAAGACTCATTCACAAAAGCCGCAATACCATTCAGCATTCCTCTTAAAGGAAACATTCCTTTAGTTTGTGAACATGTAACATGAGGAGAAGTGGATGGATTCTGTTTCACAGTTACTAACAATTCACCCAACTCCTTTTCCAACTGCCTATATTACTGCCCTGCTAAAGTCTCTTCCTTTCGGCTCCCAGCAACAACATCAATTTCACCCACAACTTGGATTATACGAAGGAGTGGGAGGTGGGCATGTAGCATAAGCTAAAGGATCCCAACCTTCCTCTTCTTCTTCCTTCCCATACAAAACTCTAGAACTTCTCGGGGAAGAGGAGTTAAACTACTGAACATGGAACTGAGGTTCAACATATAACAATTGAACTTTCAACTTCTTTTTTCACCAAAGCTTTCTTCAAAGCATTGATCCAATATGGGTCTGACTCCCCAAACTTACTCCACCTATAATTAGGCTGTATCAACACAAACGTCAGCCAAACCTCCTTACAATAATTAATCATAGTCACCTTATCTAATACCTTTGTACAAGCTTCCAACCAATCCTCTAACCACTAATGGAGATATGGGGGATGGAGGATATCTCAGTCTCAGCAGCACTTTTCCCTAGTAAAGTCCCCATACTTTCCCCAACCTGTATTACACTAATTATACACACAAATCATACAGGCCACACACACACAAACATACACAAATCCAAACCACCAAAGAGAAATATATACTCACTCCTGGTGCACCGAAGTCTTCAGGAACGTTCCTCTCTGTCCAGGCATTCAGGTCTCTGCCTCAAGGTTCATAGAAAAGCAATTCCGGCTGGAAAGGAAATAACCCCATCTCACTGAAATCAGTGTTATGTGCGCACGCAGGGAAATCCCTTCCAGACAAAATGTTTTCAGTCCCTGTTCGGGCGCCAATTGTGGCAGACAGGTAAATCCCATTATCGTTTTAAAGAGACAAAGACCGAAATAAGCCTGTACAGAGTTTATTCTTTGCAAAGGGACTTTCTCTCTAAAGTAGAGAAAGACGGAAATAAAACAATTTACACAAGTTTTTATAGTCTTCAGGACATTCAGAATACACGTCAATAAAGTACCTTGGGAATCAGTTCCAGATCTTACATAACATCTTCTATAACATATGCAGTACATAATTCCACCCTGGAAATTCCCCAATTCCCAACAGAAATACCCCTCAAAAACATCAATTGCGTACTTCCTTTAATTAATAAGGGCAAGTTAACCCAGGAACGTATTTCCTGCAAAACAAACATCTTCTCAAAAACAGGAATTACACATTTCCTTTCTCATGTTCTTAAATGTCAGCTAAATTATATAATCAGGTTATACAAAGTAAAACAAAACCTTAACATGATTTCAAAATGGCGTAACTCAGGTTATGCTTTTACAGGAATAATTCCTATTTTTCTCACAGAATCTAATTAACAGCTCTTGAAAATAAGTATAGTCAACCAATAACTCTAAGACTAATTAAAGAATAGAAAGCACAAGATATGAACATATGCTGTAATTGCAAGTTCCCTTATTATCCTAAAACTTATTTTCCAAGGACTATTTTGTGTATCATATATATGGCCATGTTAATAAAATCCAAACAAAACAGAATGCATGTATCTGGTCTTATATAAACTATTACAAACATATTTTGATGTTTTCAAACCAGAGGTTCATATCTTTCTCACTATGGAAATCTAAAAGTTATTTTTATGAATGGTTGAAAACTGCTATCAATGTTGCCAGAATAGTTAGCAAAACAATTTTAATCTCTAGATCTAACTTCTCTAAGTGAACAATTGTATTTATAGGATAGAAGATGAGGGTGGCTACAGGGAACCCTATATTACAATGACAGTTCTTTGGACTTAATTTTATTGCCAGCAGAACAGGACTTCCTAAAATGAAACAAAGACAGCCTTAGACAGTTTCTAAACATTTCTGTTCCCTTGGTAGGCAGATCAGCATAAAATACAGCATCTAATACAACAATTACTTTCCCATTATAGCCAACAATAAAGGACATTTAATATCAAAAACAAGTAAAACAACTGCCAAGAAAATTAGCTCTTCATTGGTACAAGTTAGCAGAATTTTATATAAAGGTATAGAGCTCTTGATTTGCTGCCCTTCAAAATCTTGCACACTGAATTTTAATTTGTGAATAATACAAATGGACCATTATTCATATTTTGTAAAGCCAAGAAAGAAATAGATGTATCTGGGAAGACCCAAGTTAAAATCCTCAATATATTCACTCCAGCCGCCCCAGCATCCCTGCAGTTATGCAGTCACAATCTGTACACTGGGCAACTGGCTTGCATTTACAATGGTTTTAGTATCCTGTGGTCACATGATCACCATTTGCGACCTTTCTGGTGGGCTTCCTACAAGTAAGTCAATGGGGAGGGTGGCAAGGAAGGTGGCAAGTTGCTCCCGTCTCCTCCTTTTTTTTTTTCCTGAGGAGCTTGAACTCAACAGTACAAGATCCCAGGGACCTTGTACTACATAGTTTGCACATGCCTGCAGTAACCTCTGCCTGTACTCCGTAGTGCAGGAATGCCCAGCCATGTTTATGCCAGGCTTCAGCAATCGCTCCTCCTTGCCCAGCCATGCTCATTAACTGGATGTCCTCCTGCACTCATAGCAACCATCTCTCCATCTGGCCATGCTTCTGCTGCACCTTGGCAGCCACTCCTTGCCTTTCCAGACCTTGTAGCACTTACCCATCTGTTGGCCTGTTTGCAAGATGCCAAAAACTTGCAACTTCCTGCCAGCTTCCTCATTGACTTTGCTTGTGGAAGCTGTCAAGAATTCACAAATCACAATCATGTGTGGTCTTTGCTTAATGACATGATCCTTGCTTAACAACAGCAATGGGGGCTCTCTGAATTGCCTTTGCGAAGCACATGATGTCATTCTTTATGACTTCATCACTTAGTGATGGAAATTCTAGTCCCAATTACCAGCTTTAAGTATAGGAGCTGCGATGGCACAGTGGTTAGAGTGCAGTACTGCAGGCTACTTCTGCTGATCACCGGCTGCCAGCAGTTTGGCAGATTGAATCTCACCAGGCTCAAGGTTGACTCAGCCTTCCATCCTTCTGAGGTGGGTAAAATGAGGACCCAGATTGTTGGGGGCAATATTCTGACTCTAAACCACTTAGAGAGGGCTGTAAAGCACTGTGAAGCAGTATATAAGTCTAAATGCTATTGCTATTGCTATAATAAATGCCTTAAGTGAAGTAACCTTCATTAGTCATACCTACAGATTTAGCAGATGTTATGTCTCATATGCCAATTCAAGTTTCATACTGATTTATACATTGCTGTTCAATTGTTCACTTATATATAATGAACATAGCTTAAATTTTAGAAAACTTTCTTATAAACAATGAGAACCTTGTTTAGATTACAATAATAATTTACACATTATTGGAAAGAATTGTCATTGAACAAAGTAGATGTTTCTTCATATATATGTGGGATCAGTCAGTACATTTAAGCTTTTTTTTTTGCTCTTTTTTTAAAAGAAGAAAGCATGTTAAATATCTTTGAAATTTCAGTCAAGTGCAGTTCTTTGTACATTTTATAACGTTAGTAACAATAGCTAGTGCTCAGTTAAATAAAGATATTTAAAATATACATGGGAATGTGAAAGATAAAATGTGATAAGTTACTCATTCATAAATTCATAAATAGGCTATTATGAGTGAACAGTGTTTATATAATACATATAATGTGCTATTTTACAATTTTTTCTAAAGAATTGAAAGAGTGATGGATAACAATACAACCGTAAAAATGGTTCCAATCAAGATTGTACATTCTGAGAGCCATACAGAGAAGGCAAGCAGGCAGAATCTTGGGACCACAATAGAGCCTCCTACTTTACCAAGCGGCTTAGAAAAAGACCAAATCAAGACACTTAGCACTTCTGAACAGTCCTATTCACGTTTTTATGCTTATACGAGACAAGGTGTGGAAACTGAGCTTGAGAACAAATCAAACCTTTCTTCTTTGCAACCTACTGAAAGCTTTGGGAGGAACATAAAGGAGAATGACATATCCACCCATGCAGTTAACTACGTGAGAGCCAAAGAAAAGACAATTGAGGACTGGAAATCAGAAGAATTAGCTAGAGAAATAGTGGATAAGGATAAATCATTAGCAGAAATTTTAGACCCAAATGTGAAAATAAAAACCACAATGGATTTAATGGAGGGAATCTTTCCCAAAGATGAACATCTCTTAGAAGAAGCACAACATCGCAGAAAATTTCTTTTAAAGGTTTCAGCACCCAAAACTGAAGAGGAAAAGTGAGTACATATTTTTCCAACACAAATTAATGCTTTTATCTTTTTTTTTATTGAAAAGTTTTACAAAAAAACAAAAATTTTCTTCCCCCCCATTCCCCCCACCCTTTCCCTCCCCTCATCCCACCCTCCCCCCCAGACTTCCCAGAGCAAAATACAAGGTGTTTCATTTAACAATCATAAAATAGATTAACCTACTTATCCTCAGACTACTAACTCCCCCCCTGAAACCTTAACTCCACTATAGATAACATAATACTTCTAATACTTAACGTTCATTCATAAGCTATTTGATATTTTCTTGTCTGATACTTATTTTGAATATAGTCAAGCCATCTTCTCCATTCCGATACATATCTTTCTTGTGTATAGTCCTTCAAGTACGCTGAGATTTTCGCCATTTCTTCTAGGTTCGTTACTTTCAGTATCCACTCTTCAATAGTAGGCAAAGAGTCCTTCTTCCAATATTGCGCTACCAACAGCCTAGCTGCTGATATTAGATTCAAAATCAATTTAGTCTCTGATACTGTACAGTCCGTAGTTATACCCAATAGGAACAATTGAGGAGTAAATTTCAACCTTCTTTTCAGAATATTCTGCATCACCCACCAAATTTTTATCCAAAATGCCTTGATTTTCTTACAGGTCCACCATATATGATAATAGGTTGCATCATTACATTCACATTTAGCTAGCAAATTAGAGTACATACATGATAATTTTTTAGGATCTAAGTGCCATCTATAAAACATTTTATAAAAATTCTCTCTCAAATTTTGTGCTTGCGTAAATTTAACATTTCTGACCCAAATCTTTTCCCACGTTTCCATCATCACTGGTTCCTGAAAGTTTTGTGCCCATTTTATCATACAATCCTTAACCAATTCCGTTTCTGAATCTATTTCCAATAATGCATTATACAACCTTTTAATATGCATCTGACTTTGATCTCTAATCTGTTTCACCAGATTTTCCTCATTTTGCATAACACCAAATTTTTGATCTTCCCTCCATCTAGCTTGAAGCTGACCAAACTGAAACCAAGTATAAATTATCCCTTCTTTTAATTCATCTAAAGATTTCAGTTGCAACTTACCCCTTTCCAAAAAAAGAAGCTCTTTATAAGTAATCACCTCTGTTTTTTGCTCTATACTTATATTTTCTATTGCATGTCTGGGATTTGCCCATATGGGTATCTTATAGTTTAGCTTATATTGGTACTTTTTCCAAACCCTCAACAACGCATTTCTAAGTATATGATCCTTAAACACTTTATCCACTTTTTTTTCATATAACAAATAAGCATGCTATCCATATAACAAATCATAACCTTCTATGTTTAACATTCTTTCTTCAGTTAAGTTAAACCAATCACTAATTTGTGATAAAGCAGCTGCTTCATAATACAATCTTAAGTTAAGCATTTTAAGACCTCCTCTCTCATGTATATCCTGTATAATTTTCAGTTTCACTCTTGGTTTCTTCCCAGCCCAGATGAAAGTATTAACCCCTTTCTGCCATTCCATCAAATTTCCATCTTTCTTAAGCACTGGTATCATTTGAAACAAAAATAAAAACCTAGGTAGTACATTCATTTTTATTGCTGCTATCCTTCCCAGTAATGATAGTTGTAACTTTTTCCAATTTTCCATTTCTTTCTGTACTTTTTGCCAAAGAATTTCATAATTATTTTTAAACAATTTCGTGTTTGAGGCTGCAATATATACTCCTAGATACTTAACCTTTTTAACTACTTCAAACCCCGTTATTCTCCCTAAGTCTTCTCTTTGAGTTATGGACATATTTTTAGTTATCATCTTTGTCTTATGAAGATTTACTTTAAATCCAGATACTTTGCCATATTGAGCTACTATGTCCAACATATAGGGAACCGCTTCTATAGGTTGAGATAAAGTAAGAACCAGGTCATCTGCAAACGCTCTTAATCTATAATCCTGCTGTCTAATTACAATTCCTTTTATTTTATAAGAGTCACGTAACTTATTCAACAAAACTTCTAAAGTTAAAATAAACAACAATGGCGACAAGGGACAACCCTGCCTAGTACCTTTCTCAATTTTAAACACATCTGTTAAACCTCCATTAACTATTATTTGTACTGTTTGTTCCTGATATATTGCTCTAATTGAATGTATAAAATACTCCCCAAAATGCATTTTTTCTATTATCTTAAACAGGAATTGCCAGTTCAATCGATCAAATGCTTTCTCTGCATCCAAAAATATGAACGCTGCAGGGACCTGGTTGGTTTTTTCCAAATATTCCAATAGGTTTATAATTTGTCTAACATTATATTTCATTTGCCTCCCTTTTATAAAGCCTGATTGATCATTATGAATTGTTTGTTGCATAACTGGCATTAGTCTATTCGCTAATATCTTAGCAAAAATTTTATAATCCGTGTTCAAAAGTGAAATTGGCCTAAAATTTTCAGGTTTATTACAATTTTGATCTTCCTTCAGGATCAGTGAAACAAAAGCTGTTCGTCAAGAGGGTGGGACTCCTCCCCCTAATTGAATTTTACAAAATAGAACTCTAAACGGTTCTACCATTTCAAGCTGTAAATTCTTATAATAAACAGCTGTTAATCCATCTGTTCCCGGAGCTTTCCCTACTTTTAATTGCTTAATTGCATCAGTAATCTCATCAGAAGTTATTGGTTGATTCAATCCTTCCCTCTGTTCCAACGTTAATTCAGGAATATTCCCTTCCTTTAAGTATCTATCTATATCTATACCTTGTATTGAGTCACTAGCATATAACTTTGTATAAAATTCTAAAAAAGCCTTTTTTATCATATTCTGTTGGTAAACTTGCTTACCTCTAAATTCTATCTTACCAATGACTCATGATTTCTGTTTTTTCCTCAATATGTAGGCCAACCACCTACCTGGTTTATTGGCATTACAAAATGTATTATGTTTAGCATATTGTAAGCTAGTTGCCACCTGATCAGCCATTAACATACTAAATTTCCCTCGTAGTATATTTATTGTTTCTTTTACTTTCTTGTCTCCTGGATTAAGTATGAGTGATTGTTCTTTCTTTTTTACTTCTTCCTCTATCTCTTTCCGCTTCTTTTGTTGTTTTAGTCTATGTTTATTATTCATGTGTATTAACATACCCCTCATATAAGCCTTACTAGCATCCCAGACCATTTCCATGGAAGTACCCTTATTCATATTAATTACAAAAAATTCTTTCATTTGTTTTTTAAGCTCTTTCACATTTTCTTCATATCTAAATAAATTTTCATTTAACCTCCAAGACCGCTTTTCTCCCCTCTCCTGTTCAAATTCCACCGAAACCGGACTGTGATCAGTTAAAGTTCTTGGATATATCTTCGTCTTCTTCACCCTGGAAATAAAATCATTTGTGGTTAGTATAAAATCAATCCTGGAGAAGGATTGATGTCTATCAGAAAAAAAAGTAAAGTCTCTTTCCTCCACATTACGTTCTCTCCAAATATCTCTCAGTTCTATATCTTCCACCATATCAAAAAAAGATTTAGGTACTTTTGCACGTGTTGATATCTTTGATAAACTTTTTTTTATCTTTCTATGTGTCTATTACTCCATTCCAGTCACCCATTAATATAAAAGATTTATAATCCCATTGTATTATTTTAGTATGTAGAAATTTATAAAACTTGTCTTGTTGCTGATTAGGGGCATATATTCCAATAAAAAGCATTTTTCCAGTCTGTGTTGATAATTCAATTGCAATATATCTTCCTTGATCATCTGCCTCAATTAGTCCTTTCCTTACATATATGACTAGCCCATTTTTCTTCTCTGGCGCTGATGCCACAAAATGTGTACCTAATCTTGAATTTATCAAATATTTTTGATCTGATAATCTAATATGTGTTTCTTGCAAGCAAATAACGTCATTGTTAAATTGTTTCAAGTAGTGAAATACTTTCTTTCTTTTTGGTGGTGAATTTAGGCCATTGACATTCCAAGATAGGAATTTAGTTGCCATCTTTAGCCTTTTGAAGCCATATGAGCATCAGCTGAAGCTCCTCCTCCACCTTACTCTTCGGCCTACCCCCTTCTTGAGATAAATCTTGAGATTGTTGCCTTTTTTATTGTTGTTCTTGAAGTTTATAAGTTGATCGGGTCAGTCGTTGTACTTTCGGCTCTCCCTTCTTAGGTGGTTCCAAAGTTGGAGGTAAGCCCCCAAGATCCAAATCTTCTTCCATGATAATTCCTCCAGCTGCAACTTCAGCATAGGTTTGTACCTATTTTCCATCTTTTTCTTGTTGTAACATCTCCATTTTCTTCTCCCCCCCCCCCCGGTGAGGGTGGGTATCCAGCCTTTAAAACATTTACATAGAAGTCTTTTGCCTTCCAGACTGTGTTTAACCGGTATCTTTCTCCATTATAAGTCACTATTAGACCAATTGGAATGTCCCATCTGTATGCCACTTGTTGATTTCTCAGCTCATTTACCAAAAAGCCAAAGTCTTTTCTACTTTCAGCATCTTTGGAGGAATCTCTTTCAAAACCACCACCTCTTGCCCAGCCACCTGAACTTTATTCTTGTAGGAAGCTTGTAAGATATCATTTCTGATCCTCCTAGTTGTAAAATAGATCACCACATCTCTTGGCAGCTGCCTTTGTTTTGCCAGCCAGGAATTAACCCTGTAAATTTTATCAATTTGGCTTGCCACATCTTCTGGTCTTTCTTTAATTATCTCTACAATAGCATCAGCACAAATATCTTTTAGGTTTTCTTTACTATTTTCTTTCAGGCCTCTCAATCTCAGAGCAAACTCCATGGACCTGTATTATAACATTACCAATTCATCATCCACTTTCTCTGTTCTGGTCATAACATCTCCCATTTTGCTTTCCAAATTTAAATTGGCTTGATTAATTTCTTCAACTTTCCCATCAAGCTAGATAACAAGGTTTGACAATCCTGATACAGCATAAACAATATCCTCTTTTATCTCATTGTGTTTCTCTGCAACCACT